GGACATTAAGGCATTGATTGCTTGTGTGGCGGATGGCAAACTGATTCCTATTGTGGCAGATTACTCATTGATTCCTTTGTCGGGCGGGAAGGCGGGACAGTAAAGGCAAAGACTGCTTGTGTGGTGAATTACAAATGGAATCCCTTTGGCAGCGGATTACAAACTTATTCCTTTGGTCGGGCGGGCGGGCGGGACCTTAAATGCATTGATTGCTTTGGTGGCGGATTACAAAGTGATTACATTTGGCAGCTGATTACAAGTAGATTTTATACAACAAATCCGATGAAGATACAGCAGCTGAGGGCCCCTTAAACGCGACCCGGGGGCGAGGAGCCACCCAGACTTTCGGCGACAGCCGAACGCCTTATGTACACTATGGTACCAGTCCTCTACTCAAAAGCGTTCTGACAAAGCCTGCTGAATACGACATCGTTACAGTACCCCGGCAAGGACGGAAACAAAAACTTGAAATGGCCCTGGACTCGGGATCCCGGCGGAGGGGCGGAAGACGAGGAGGAAACGAGAACGGACCGCAGCGCCGTGTGTGCATCAATCCCCACATAGTCAAAACGACCACTTATAAGATGAGGCCTGACACAACGAGTCCATCATGGGTGACGCACAGTGCATACTCAGTCAACGTCCGTGCGGCAGCTGATTACAAGTAGATTACTATTGTGGCAGATTGCAGGCTGATTCCTTTTGTCGGGCGGGCGGGCGGGACATTGAAAGGCATTGCTTGCTTGTGTGGCGGATTACACAGTACTGCCCTTCGTGGCGGAGTGGAAGTGGAAGACGAGGAGGTAAGCCTAAGGTAGCCCGAGGGGTAGGCCCTAAGGGTAGGCCTAGGGTAGCCCTAGGGGTAGGCCCTCGGGGTAGGCCTAGGGTAGCCCTAAGGGTAGGCCCAGGGAAGCCCTAGGGGTAGGCCCTAAGGGTAGGCCCAGGGTAGCCCTAGGGGGTAGCCCTAGGGTAGCCCTAGGGGTAGGCCCTAGGGTAGCCCTAGGGTAGCTCTAGGGGTAGGCCCTAGGAGTAGCCCTAGGGTAGCCCTAGGGGTAGGCCCTAGGGGTAGCCCAAGGGGTAGGCCCTAGGGGTGGCCCTAGGGTAGCCCGTCCTGGGGTGATCTATAAGCAGGGGGGGGGAGGGGCAAAAGGTCAACAAGAGGCCCCCAACATGCACCCAAAGGCTCCCAAGAGACCCCTTCAGAGGCGCCAAGGGACCTCCCAGAGGCACCCAAGAAGCCCCAAGAGGCTTGGGCGAGAAGGTTGAATTCTCTCGGTGCTGCTAAGGAGTTGGCGGCATAGTGGCCTCCTGGGGGGGGAACCCTCCTTCGATCGAGGTCTTCCAAGATGGCCTCACGATAGCTCCCGAAGCACCTAAGGGTGCGCCAAAGCGGCCCCAAGAGGTGCCCAGGAGGCCCAAAGAGGCCTCTAAGAGGCACCCCAGGGGGTTCCTGAAAGACCCCCAAGAGGCGCCAAGAGGCCCCCCACAGGTGCACCTAAGACGCCCCAGGAGGCCTCGGCGAGGAGACCCAAATCAATCAGTTTACATCGGTCTTGGCAACGCCTCAACCTCCTGGGGAGGGGAGAGCCCTGGTTTGATCGATCTCCTCCTGTATGGCCCCGAGATGGCCCGTGAAGCACCCCCCACAGACAGCCCGCAGAGGTGACCCAAGAGGCCTCCAAGAGGCCCCCCAAAGGCCCCCGAGATGCCCCCCAAGAGGTTCCCAAGGGGCCCCCCCTTCTCTTCCCGCCTCCCTCCTTCACAATTACTCAATATGAATACTACTCTCCCTCTTCCCCGGATGACGTGCTGGGAGTGTTCGGCCCCCCCGCGTACTGATTCTTTACACGCAGGATTCCCGGGAGTTGGGTTTTCGATTGTATTTTTTCAAAATGCTGTTATCGCTGAGGCGCCGGCCTCATTTTCGGGCCCCGTTCGTTCCGAATCGTGTTCCCGCTGCAGCGCTGGCTTCATGTCCGTGCTTCCGCTCGTTCCGAATCGTGCTCCCGCTGCAGCGCTGGCCTCATTTCCGTGTTTCCGCTCGTTTCGACTCGTGCTCCCGCTGCAGCGCTGGCGTCATTTCCCGTGCCATGCCACGGCATGCAATGCAATGCTAGGTTGATACTACGCTTTGCGGTGCTCTTCTACGCCATGCCATGCCGTGCTCTACAATGCATCGCGTACCCTTTCGCGATCATTGCCCTGCTCGACATCCGACTGTGCGAGTAGAGAGGGGATCTACGCCATGGTAAGGGATGGGAGGGAGGGGTAGGATGTCAGATATGACGCGAGCGCACCTAGCTTGTCCATCCTCCCCTCCCTCATCCTCCGTGTCCTCATCCTGCTCCTCCGATTCATCCTCCAACATCCCCTCTTGAACACGTCGAACCCAACCCGGTATTCCGACGCATGCACTCTCGCATCCCTGATCACAGGAGCAACACGCCTGGGCATTGTTTATGGATGGACTGGTGGGATTACTTGTTTGGGTAGCAACCGCAGGCGAGAGCGCCAGCGGCGAGTAAGGTCCAAGCGGGCCGCGCGGGGGCCTAATTACCTAGCGCGGAGCAGAGCAGGACCTACCGCGTAGGACTGGGGCCCGCAAGGAAAAGTCCAGAGGGCGTGTTAATCAACGGCAAAGGGGCGCGATGCCAGATAATTCGAGGGCCAGGCCACAAAAGGAGGAAGCCGCCAAGAGGGCGCCAACCCACGCACGTGCAACATGCTGAACTGGTGGGATTACGCGAAGCGTCTAGAATTACTCAGCCCCCTCCTCAAAGGCAAACACACACACATGAAAGAGAGAGAGAGAGAGACACACACAGAGGGGGAGAAGAGGAGAGAGAGAGAGAGAGTGTGAGAGAAGAAGCAGAGAGAGAGGGGGCGAGAGAGGTATATACATGCATATATACATAAGTATGCCTATAAAGCCACACTTCGGGTGATAAGGAGATTGGGTGTGGGCAGAAAGAACCAACTGCTGGCCAATGCGATGGGTGTGATGAAGACGGTGCTGGTGACGCGCCCTCGAGTTAGCGACGACGCGGGATGACGATGTTGGGCTGCGAGTTAATGTAACGATCGTCCCCGCTCTCGATCTGACTCGATCGATCCCAATATCGCCTTCACAGGACCAATCACACTCAATCGATATCACCATATATCATATTATCGGCCTCGCTACAGATATCACTATAGACCTCGCTTCTGATCCCACTATCGATCACACCATCGATCTCACCATCGATTCCTCCGTCGATATTACGGTCGATACAACGATCGATCTCACAACCAAAATCTCAATAGCTCCCACTGCCGATTTTTCACTTTTGATCTCACTGTCCATCCCATCTTAGCGATCTCATTATCGATCCAACGATCGACTTGACCATCGATACAGAGGCGGGACACCCCCGGCGGCCCACCGCCGAAGGAGCACCGCGAGACACCTGCGGGACACCGCAGGACACCACGGCGGGACACCACGCGCCCACGGGCCACCACGCGCCCACGGGGGGCGGAGGGGCGGTCCACTCCATTCCAAACGGCCTTGCGACGGCGGGGTCATTCCTCTCGCGCCCACGCAGCTTCGCCCCGCCCGCACGCACGACACGACCACGAAACCGAGACCGATTTCCTGGTGGGAGTCTCCCTGTTCCACTGCGATCTCACGCCCCGACCCCCGATACGCATACATGTGTATACGTAGCCCCCCGCAGATGCGGATAAGAGTGAGGGGGCGGTGGGGACGTCGGCAGTTTGCGAGACTCTGGAGAAGCCCGCCGCAGGCGCCAGCGTTTCACAAATTATATAACGAGCCCGCCGCAGGCGCTGATTGCGTCGTTAAACCAATGTGGATAAATCGCGGGTGGGTCGCGGGTGGACCGCAAATGGGTCGCGGCTGGGTCGCGGGTGGGTCACGGGTGGTCCGCAAATGGGTCGCGGGGTGGGTCGCGGGTGGGTCGCCTGGTGGGTCGCGAGTGGGTCGCGGGGTGGGTCGCGGGGTGGGTCGCCGGTGGGTCGCGGGTGGGTCGCGGGTGGATCGCGGATTGGGTCGCGGGTGGGTCGCAGGGTGGGTCGCGGGTTGGGTCGCAGGGTGGGTCGCGGGGTGGGTCGCGGGGTGGGTCACGGGTGGGTCGCGGGTGGGACGACAACAACAAACAACAACCCAACAACGCAACAACACAACAAGCAAAATCCTCACCACGGATCCCGACGTCAGCCACGCACCCAGGGACAATGAATGAACGTTCGGCCCCCTCACTCTGATATGTGTATGCACATAGATACACACATATACGTGGTGCAATATAGGGCAACTTCCCCGAACCGACTTCGATCTTAGACCTCGGTCCGACCGTATAGGTGGTGCAAAGTACTTCGCGCAGTCTACGTGGTGCAATCTAGGTGGTGCAATCTATCGTGTGCACATTATGTTGTGCAATCTTGGCTGTGCAATCTATGAGTTGCAATCGACGTGGTGCAATCAATGAGATGCGATCTATGTGGTGTAAGCTACGTGGTACAATCTAGGCGGCGACGGGGCGGGGACGGGGAGGCGACGAGGCGGCGACGGGGCGGCGACGGCGACAACATAGCCGCCACACCGAAGACACAGCCCAATTCCTTAGAACACAAGTAAGAGCCCCTACGTGCAAATACTAGTCGATACTCATATAAATATATAGATTTATGGACATGCTTACAGACTCACATATATATATATATATGTACATATATATATATATGTACATTGAAATATTCCTATCGATATTTTCCTACAGGGAGGAAGAGAGAGAGAGAGAGAGTGGAATGATGATCTGAACAGAAAAAGAAAACCAGAGAGAGAGAGAGAGAAAGAGAAAGAGACAGATCGACAAGACAAAAGTGCGACCATGAATAACCATCAAAGGAAGAGCGAGAGAGAGAGAGAGAAAGAAATAACTCCGTACAGAGGGATTGACGGACTTGCCGGTCTGTGGATAATGAGCGCGTCGGTCCTGCTGTGTCGTGCTCGGTGGCCGAAACAATACCTGGCCAGCATATGCCCCCCTCGCCCGTCTACAAGGACAGTCTCCCAACAACCTGCCGACTGTTCAACGCTCGCATGCCAATCTGCACACTGGCACGGATGCAATTGTCAAACAAGACTGCCAGCAAGCGTGAGACCAAACGGTACTTGATTGCGCTTTCGACGTCTAACAGTTTGGAGCAATGCATGTGGTGCAATCCCTCTGGTGCAATGTGGATGGTTCGAGCTATGAGAGGCAACTACTGTACCACTTGGAGAAGTCTTCAGATCCGATGCGCAAACACACGCCCCCTCCAAACCTCTCACAACATGCTGACCAAACTCAACAGACCGTGACTGCAGCAAGCTGCGGGAGCTTGTTCGCAAAGCTAAGCCAGCGCAGTGACGCGCAGATGTTCCCCACGCGGACACATGACCCGAGCGGTCAAACGAAGGTGATGACGATGATGTTGACGGTAACGACTCATTTGCCTTGAAATTGCGACGCTGATTTGGTAACACCATCTCCTGTAGACACTCTTGGCGAAAGCAGCGCCGTGCAACGAAACAGCGGGCCCAAAAAAGGGGGAGCGAAAGCCAACAAATCAACCAGGGAAGCCAAAGAGCCGAGCCGAGGGCGCAGGAAAAGCGGGGGCAGGATGGCAAGCAACCCTGTGACGCTCAGGCGCCGCCATTTCGCTCAGAACTGCGCGGGACAAGTGTTGTCTGCTAGTGCGCATGACTGCAGCATCGGGCAGGTGCCGTCTGCACCGTCGCGCCCTGCGCACCGAATTGGCCCAATAGAGTGACGTTCCAGCGCCGCCCGTTCGCTCGCGCGGCGGGGAATTCGATTTTGGGCCGGACGCCATTTGCGCATAGTTTGCGCCCGAATCTGCATCAGGCTACCTGGCCTGCAAATCGCGTCTCGACCAGGTCAAGAATAGTCATCTTGGTGCGCCTGCCTGGGCCCAGGCCAGCAGCGGAAGACAAGGCCTTCTGGCACGGGGACTTCAGCGAGAGCGATGGCAAACCGACAGCATGGCACAGAAGGCTGCTTAGAACATGATCTCATGGCACAAACAAGCAGGTGAGTGCATCAAACGATGTCACGGCGTTAGAAGACCGGCAAGGTGTGCGAAACAGCATGATCAAGACATCGATTCCTTGCTCAAGCCTTGCGAGAACAAACCTCCGAAGAACGTGAAACATGCTGCAACGAGGGGCGAAGCAGAAGAAACGTTTGCCTCAGCAAGCGCGGGAATAAACAGGGACCTCAGAAATTCAGCAATCGACCTCCTCGTCACCGACACGAGCTTGTTTTGTTCGAAACGGAATCCCCATAGGAAGAAGAGGTTAAAACACCCGTGTCTCAACCTAAGTTACCATATCCGTCTTAACATCATCCTCCCAAGCAGCAGCTGCTCGAGACAGGTCCCCACCACCACCATCATGAATTTCGGCATCGCCACCTTTAAACACGCAAAAACCCCCTTTCTTATGATTATTTCGTGGATCAACACCTCCGCTAAAAGGGACACCTTGACCGGCACGAAAACCACCAGGAAAAGCAGGATGAACACGGAGAATGAGATCACGAGCACGAGCCCAAACTCTTTCAGCACCAAAATATTGGGGATATCAATAAATATGAGCAAAGGGCACATGACCAGCATGATCGTCTCTTCCACGATTCGGCCCCAGCACCTCAAAGTGAATCGCTTCGATGATCAGCACCTTCACCACGGTCGGCACCACCATGAAGAGCAGGAAGACCAGGACGAACACCATCAAGAGCACCATCACGAACGCCACGATTAACCGATTAACCACACCAGAACCCAAGCGATCACCATGTGGATAAGCACCCCCGAAACGAAAGGAACCTCCAAGAGGATCGGCACAGACACCACCAGGAATAACAGGAGTGGCAGCCCGACAGGAATCACGAGGACCCGCCACAACGCAAGCAGCAGCATCTGCGTAGCGTTCGGAATCAACATGAACGGCAGCCTGACCAACTTCTCCACGAGGATCGGCCCCAACACCTCCAAAAATTAGCCCGGCGAAGGACCCAACCATATGCAGTTGTGAGGACCGTTTTTGTGAGCAACGCATTCGGTGGAGCTCCCAATGAGGCCACGAAGCGTTGTGCTGGGTGTGGCGGACGCATGCGCCCCCCCCCACGCTGGGGCCTTCGGTGGAGCTCCCTACGGGGCCATGAAACGCCGTGCTGGGTGTGGCGGACGCATGCGCCTCCCCCACTGGGGCCGTCGGTGGAGCTCCCTGTGGGGCCACGAAGCGCCGTGCTGGGTGTGGCGGACGCATGCACCCCCCCACTGGGGCCTTCGGTGGAGCCCCCTATGGTGCCGCGAAACGCTGTGCTGGGTGTGGCGGACGCATGCGCCCCACCCACTGGGGCCTTCGGTGGGGTTCCCACCGGGGCCGCGAAACGCTGTGCTGGGTGTGGCGGACGCATGCGCCCTCCCCCAGTGGGGCCTTCGGTGGAGCTCCCTATGGGGCCACGAAGCGCTGTGCTGGGTGTGGCGGACACATGCGCCTCCCTCCACTGGGGCCTTCGGTGGAGGTCGCGATGGGGCCACAAAACGCCGTGTTTGGTGTGGCGGACGCATGCGCCCCCACCTCCCCCCGACTGGGACCTTCGGTGGAGCTCCCTAGGGGGCCACGAAGCGCTGTGTTGGGTGTGGCGGACGCATGCGCCCCCCCCACTGGGGCCTTCGGTGGAGTCCCCTACGGGGCCTCGAAACGCTGTGCTGGGTGTGGCGGACGCATGCGCCCCCTTCCACTGGGGCCTTCGGTGGAGCTCCCTACTGGGCCACGAAACGCCGTGCTGGGTGTGGCGGACGCGTGCGCCCCCCCCTGGGACCTTCGGTGGAACTCCCTATGGGGCCACGAGGCGCCGTGCTGGGTGGCGGACGCATGCACCCCCCCCCAATGGGGCCTTCGGTGGAGCTCCTTACGGGGCCACGAAACGTGTTGCTGGGTGTGGCGGCCGCATGCGTCCCCTCCATTGGGGCCTTCGGTGGAGCGCCCTATGGGGCCACGAAGCGCTGTGCTGGGTGTGGCGGACGCGTGCGCCCCCCCCACGCTGGGGCCTTCGGTGGAGCTCCCTACGGGGCCACGAAGCGCCGTGTTGGGTAGGCGGACGCCTGCGCCCCCCCACACTGGGACCTTCGGTGGAGCTCTCTATGGGGCCACGAAGCGCCGTGCTGGGTGTGGCGGACGCATGCACCCCCCCCACTGGGGCCTTCGGTGGAGCTCCCTACGGGGCCACGAAACGCTGTGCTGGGTGTGGCGGACGCAGGCGGGCTGTGCCACTGGGAGATCCGGTGGAGCTCCGTATGGGGCTACGAAGCGTGTGAGAGGTGTGCCGACAGCAAAGGCAAGGATGGGGGAGGAGGGAGGAGGGGGAGGAGGGAGGAGAGAGGAGGGAGGAGGGAGGGAGGAGGGGGAGGAGGAAAGATGGAGGGAGGAGAGACGCGGGGCACCGTCTCTTCAAAACGAGGACCCAACACCACAGGATGCGTGGAAAAAATCATTACGATCGCCATGTTCACGGCGGCCAACACCGCCAGAAAGAGCAGGATTTTCAGGGCGACGGACAGGGAGATCACGTGCACAACTATGCGGAGGCAGCCCACCAGTACCATCATACTTTCCATTGAAATAACAGGGGCACCAACATCATCAGCGCGAATGCGCACCGAATTATGAGCTTCACCCCTAGTGTCTTTATGTCTGTCATCCACAGTCACGCATCCAGACAACACGCCCAGCAGCGTCGCGGACATGTCGATCAACGCCCGATCGGGCATGCTAAATTCCACCGGCGGGGGGAGAACGACCGGAACAAGCAGATGACATCGTTGAGAGGCCAGCCGCACCCTCGCTTGTCGACCATCGCGGAGATCAGCGAGGATCCAGTCCAGCGGGGCCGCCACCAGCATAACCGTCGGCCGCGCGAGGAGGGGGAGGGCAGGGGGAAGGACCGCGCGCGGCGCCCGGTAGCCTGCGACGCACGGAAAGGCTTGATGATGACGATGCTGATGATGATGACGGGGATGCTGATAGCGATATGAATGATGATGATGATGTCGGCGGAAAAGCACGCAAACATTAACTGATCGAATGTTGGATACGAAATACCCAATGGAACCGCTCGTGGTCTTCGCGGGCGCTTAGGCTCGAGCGCTGTGAGGATGCGAAGCTATTGCATGCCATGCGCGCGCCAAGCATGGAGCCGGATCGTTGAAGCCGTTCCTAGATCTCTTCTTGCACATGTGACACCTGCAATCAAAGCAGCTCAAATCACCGACCCCTTTCAGACATATCAGACAATTGAGCAGCCGCGTGGCGCATATGCGCACGATGTCTTTCACCGAGGGCACGCTCGCGAAGCGTCAAATGGTTCAACACAGGCCGCTCGTTCTCGTCGCGGGTGACTGGCAGTCGCCGCGCCGCGGAGATAATCGCATCCACGGTGTCGCATAACGCCAGCAGGCTTGCGGTCCGATCTCGGCTTGCATGGGCCGCCAGTACCCCGGCGACGACGCGCCTCGCGCATCGCGCCACCACTGGAATAACAGAGGTCTGTAACGAGGCGCCCGCCCGGGGGTCGCCCGCGCCCCGCGCGGTCGCAGCAGCGCGGCGCTTGCGGGGCCCGGCCCCCTACGCAAAATAATCGCGGGCGTCTGCGGCGCCGCAGAGCTTGCCGCGCGGCTCGCGACCCAGGAGCGCGACAACGCCGCGATCGAAGACGTCGCTCGCGAAATACACGCCCTCCCAGTCGAGGCAAGGGAAGGACATGACCAGCGCCTCAGGTCGGGGCCCAACGCGACCTGTCGATAGCGAAAAGAAAAAACGAAGACGCGCCGCGCCCGGCCGGAGGCCGACATGCGAGGGCCGGATCGCAGGGGCCGCAGCCCTCACATTCACGCGATCTCGCACTCCGTGAAGCCCCCATCCAGAGCCCCCCAACGTCCGGAAAAATCAAATCATGATCACTGGAGTCCTGCGACCGTAAGACCATCATGAATGGCGACTGCCCGCCGGCTTCTGGGTCTACAATGCGATCGACTCAAAATCCGCCCCGGCACCCGCCGCGGCCCCCAAGCAGCGGCAACTCGCGCCCACCTTGCTTTGCCCAACTCTCGCCCGCGTTGCGCCCACTTCAACTCCAATCTTCGTCGCGCGACTGTCCGCGCATCAGACTGCAGAAATTCCATTGTCGTCTCGGCCGCGCGCGTTGCCCGTCTTACCCGGCCAACCCAAGGCTCAAATTCTCCAATTGTAGCGCCGATTGCACACGTTCGCCGCCTCCGGTGGCCAAGGATTCAACGCAGCACGCGTCGCTGACACGTTCGCAAAACCAGCTCTACAGTGGCCACCGACGCCCGAGTCGCTGCGCTGCCCAGCGCCGCGGGCTCGACGACCACGTCGACAGCTCCCAGCGCTCCCTCAAGGCCTCAAGGAGCGCACGTTGCAGGTGAGCTCTTGCTGGAGCACCGAACTTCTCCGCCAACCCATCGCGGTTCTGTCGTGAAGCTCCGCGTCGCCAGGCTCGTCAAAGGCGAGCTCGCGCCCGAGTTGCTTGGCGCTGCCAGAAAAAGAAAGATAATATCGATCCTCATGCTATCCACGTCCACGCGCGCCCTGGATAGCAGACCTGTCCGTCTCGCAAAATTGCATAGATTATTCGCGATCTCTGGGTGGAATTCCGAGACGCCGAGCATATTCCGCAGATGTGCATAGGACGCAGCCAGTAATGAATCATTGGCGCAACGTGACATGGGTAGCGAAGTGAACTTTGCATACCGGAGAGGTAATCCAAAACTCCCTTGCGACCGCATCGCCCTCACCTCCCAGAACACGCCGCCCAGGTCGGCGTCGAAAAGCAACGAGCTCAGAGGATCACCTCGCTCGGTTCCCCGTCGCAAACAAAAGGGTTTGCTCATCCTACCTGCGCGAACACAACCATTCGGATCTGAATGAAAAGCGATGACAGGTTCGCGCGAGCGTTCGGCGCGCCCTGTTTTGAAGCGCCACCCGCGCCCACACGTGCTCCACATAGCCGACCGCCTTCTTGAAAATGATGGTCCGCAAACCACGCTGGAAGGTTCCATCCTCTTGCATGTTCTTGCATATCGCATGGGCTGCTGCCCGCGAGCGGCGCGTCGCACTGCAGTCGGGTCGAAAACCAGCTTGGCCAAGCGTCTGTCTCTCATCTAAGATCTCCTCCGATCGCTGGGCAAGCAGCTGGTCAAACAACAGATAAATAATGGGAAGTATTGAATGGACCAACAATAAAACGGAACATTCGGGCATTTGAACACCACTGTCACAAGAGATCCCTTCCACTCCGGTGGAGCCTTCTTCGGATCTTCCAAAATACTACTGCACGCAGCTAACCCTGTACTCTGCGTGAGAACTGCGCGACGCATGCGCACAGCTGACCATTGACCTCGCCTCGCTGGCGCCTCTCGAAGTCAGGGCGCAGCTTCCCCAAGATCGCACTGCCCTCGCGCCTGTGTTAGCGACGCAATTACTCACGCCTATGTAGGTGTCCGACACCTAGCTGGTCGAACTGCCGAAGAACGCGCAGTTGAACATCTCGCTGGGGAATAGAGCCCACGCGCCCCCCCGTCAAATGAAATTCACGCAGGGCCAACCCGCTGCCTGCAACGCGCGACAGCCTCGCGATCAAAGTCGCGCGCGCCGCGGCGTCGCCCAGCGCCGACGCGCGAATGGCCAGGTAGAGTGTAGAATGCGCAACCAGGGCACGGCAATCACATTCGCGAAGAGATCGCTACGGCAAGCCATGGGAACGTCTGCGACCAGAAGGCGGAAGCTGGACACGGCGCGCGACGAGCGAAGATCTGCCGTCGGCTCACTCCAGCGCCCCTGGCCAAGCCTCCTCGCGGTTCACCGCTCCGCGGTCGCACCTGATCTTGAAACCAAATCGCCCCGTCGCTGCTCTGTCGATGGGTTTTTTCCCCTTGCGTGCAGACGCATCCGCTCCTGTAGTGGAACGTGCCCCCCGTTGGGGCCGACGGCGGCGCCGTCGGCTTCGTCGCGGCGGGCTTCTTCGCCACCCGACCTTCGCGCCCTTGCCCTTGGTCAGCGTCGCGGCCTCCATGCACATCAGGGCCTTCTTCGGCTGGTCGGCATCGTCGTCGGCCTGCTAGCCATTGTCCGCAGAAGGGCGGTTCCTCGCGGCGGCTGCAGCCTTCGCAACGTCGGCGAAGCATTTGCGAAACTCGACCCTTCGATGCTGAAGTCGGCGTCGGCGCGTGCTGCCGTCGCCTTGGGCGCATCCTCTGGAACTGGCGCATGCGCCTTGGGCGCGACCTGGGCTCCTGGAGCGGGTTCATCGCACGGTGGCGCCTTGGGTTTTGGCAACACCAGAGAGCCGCGAGATTGCCCTGAAGACGCCGCTGCATTGGCAAAGACGGATGCGCCCGCCGCACTGGCGCAGAGCGCCGCGGCCAGCTGCCCGCCGCACATGGACTGGCACGCCGCGGCCTGCTGTTGGGTCTGCGGTTGGCATCACGGGCGCGGCCGCGAGCGCAGCCGCCTCGCACTGGGTATCGGCATGGAGCCCGCGAGAAAGCTTTCGCATGAACTCGTGCCCCTCGGCCTGGATGTCCTTTATGGATGGGCCGTCATTCCCGCGCGCCTCTATCCACCACGGCTCGCCGCACAACGCAACGTTTTGGGTCGCTACTATGGCCAGGAGGGGTTCCCTGGATGGTGTTGGGCAGGTCAGGCAGGGGGGCTGGTTGGCGGCTGTCTCGGGCGTTTCTGGTCGCTATGTTAATGAGCGGGGGTCACTCTGGGCCCTCCGGAACGGTTCCCGGAGGTCTGGGGCGCCCTTCCTGCCATTCCGCCTGCATACCAATATTCAAGGACCAAGGTGCATGGCGCGCAATTGCAGTCTTGTGTGCATCTATATATATATATATATATGTGTGTGTGTGTGCGTGTGCGTGTGCGTGTGCGTGTGCATGTGCGTGTGCGCGTGTGTGTGCGTATGCGTATGCGTATGCGTGTGCGTGTGCGTGTGCGTGTGCGTGTGCGTGTGCGTGTGCGTGTGCGTGTGCGTGTGCGTGTGCGTGTGCGTGTGCGTGTGCGTGTGCGTGTGCGTGTGCGTGTGCGTGTGCGTGTGCGTGTGCGTGTGCGTGTGCGTGTGCGTGTGCGTGTGCGTGTGCGTGTGCGTGTGCGTGCGCGTGTGCGTGTGCGTGTGCGTGTGCGTGTGCGTGTGCGTGTGCGTGTGCGTGTGCGTGTGCGTGTGCGTGTGCGTGTGCGTGTGCGTGTGCGTGTGCGTGTGCGTGTGCGTGTGCGTGTGCGTGTGCGTGTGCGTGTGCGTGTGTGTGCGTGTGCGTGTGCGTGTGCGTGTGCGTGTGCGTGTGCGTGTGCGTGTGCGTGTGCGTGTGCGTGTGCGTGTGCGTGTGCGTGTGCGTGTGCGTGTGCGTGCGTGTGCGTGTGCGTGTGCGTGTGCGTGTGCGTGTGCGTGTGCGTGTGCGTGTGCGTGTGCGTGTGCGTGTGCGTGTGTGTGTGTGTGCATGCGTGCGTGCGTGCGTGCGTGCGTGCGTGCGTGCGTGTGTGTGTGTACTTCCCCTCTCTACTTCCCACCTTTTCCATCTGTTCCTGGGGATTGGGACTCTGGGAGCCAACATCAGGCCATTCTGCTTCACAAAAAAACAACGGACGACACCTGCCACCCCCGTAACCGTGAGCGAAACACGACTTGTAAATCTGGGATCCTGGAAGCCAACTTAAGGCCATTCAGCCTCACCAAACAACAACGGGTGACACGTGTCACCCCCGAAACCGCATGAAAAAAAACACTGGTAACTTTGAGATACTGGGAGCCACCATAAGGCCAATCAGCCTCACACCGCGCGCGAGAACTAGACGCCACCGCGCGCACGCGCGCAGTCGCGCGAGTACGTACGAAGTGTCCCAGTAAGACGAAAACGACCTACTCGTCGACACAAGTATATTGCACATCTGCACGCCTACAAATCATGCGCATATACCAATGCTTGCGCGTGTGTGCGTGCATACGCAAATACGTATACAAACAGACATGTGTGCACTTAACCATCGTATTGTCCGGTCCCCGTGGAACATGTTTCAGGGGGCAGTTTAAAAATGATTAATCAGCGGCGAAATACTGGCAGACGGGATCCGGGAGGGGGAGGGGGGATCATCATCTTTCAACAGGTTTTGGACACCAGCGAAGCGTAGCATCAGTAGCAACGCTATGCTTGGGCAAGATACGGACGCGCGCGGGCTTCCCATCTGATGGGAAAACAAGGTCCTGTTAGTGTGCTGGAAGCTTTTGGAACGATTCCGAGTAGTATCATAAAGCTACCTGGACACGACTCTGGCATACGCACCCTAACAACCATGGACGATCGAAGGAGATGCACGTCTGACAAATTTTCTTGGCGTAACAGAAAACAGTTCTTGCGCGGCATTGCGAAGTGAGCGCTGGCTGTACATGCTTCGGCCACTGCATGCTCGTGCTCAATCGGTCTCTGCGGACAACGCACCATGTAAACTGACATCTGTACACGTCGACTGAATCCGCATGACGATGGGAACAAACATGCCGCGCGCTGCGTTGCACAGGACGCCGGTGCAGTGAATCTCGCAGATTGTTGAATAGAGATCACAGGCAATTCTCTCAAACATTAAAACTGGCAGTGCCGAGGCTCGCCGACAATACGCGCAGTGGCGCGAGCAGCATGCCAACGAGCCTTCGAGTATTGGATGAACTGATGATGTGGAGTGGTGGGGTGCGGCGAACCTCAAGCACCAGAGTGCAGCCGCGCTTCAGCTTGAAGGGTTGAAACCTGTGCCATGGCGCTAAACGCGCCAGGTCAAAAAAGAACTGATTGGTGACCACACGGTGGGAGCAGGCCGGGCCCTCGGGACAGGCCCCAGGCGCTGCCGATGAAAACAATACCCTCACTGTCATGGCGGGCGCGAGCCACCGACCGGCTTGTGGCTTGTGGGAAGGGGACGCCGTTACGCAACACACTTACAAGCGATGCTGCACACCCAAATGCACGGCCTCGACCGCCTGGACGGTCGACGCTGCACACCGGCCTGCACGCCAGGCCAAAAGCCAGAAGGAGCTTGGACCGCTGAGGAGAACGCTTGAAAAATTTGTAGCTCCAAAAGCTGGTCGGACTCGACCGACGAAGACCCTGCACGAGGCGTTCAAAAATAGCGGGCACCTCGGCCCCCTCCCCGACCACATCCCCATTCCTCCCCCGACACGAGCCAGCCTCCAGCGGCACCTGGCCCCGATGCGCCGCAGCAGGCCTTCTCTCTCTCAGCGGTGCGCGGCGAGCCCGTCGCAGACACGGCGGGCGCGGGCCACCGGGCGCCCCGCCGCCGGCTGCGTGCCCTGCGGGTGGACCTCCCGGGCCCGGGCCTCGCAGGTGCCCGGGGAGCGCGGGGGCCTGACTACCTACCAGACCACCCCAACCCAACCCGAAGACCCGAATTTCGGGTTGGGGGGGGGTACGGGTTCCAGATGTGTGTCTTCTCGAGGTTCCCCGACCCCCCCCCACTGGAAATGGAGTTCAAATCGAGACCTTCGGGCTGGGTTGGGGTGGTTTGGTGGGTGGTGGGGGCCTGCTGCCCCTCGCCGACAGCGACCTCCCGGCGCAGCCGGGGCGGGCCCCGCCGGGCGCCTCCCCCCCCGGGCGCGCGGGCGCCGGCTCGCCGCCGGCCCGCCGCAGGGACGCGGCGCGCGGGGCCCCCTGGCTCCCCTCGGGGTGCGGCGCCCTGCGGCAGAGGCCCTGGCCGAGGGGGCTCGCGGCCGCCGAGGTCGGCCAGGCGTGCGGTCGTCGAGGGCAGCGCCGCTCGTCCTCGTCGCGGGCGATCGCGCCCGTTCGGCGGAGCCCGGCGCCCGCCTCGGGAGGGCTCGGGGACCACTCGGAGAGGTCCGCAGACGCCTCCGTGCCGCTCGTCTGGTCGCGCGACTCCGTGTCGCTCGACTCCGCGTCGCTCGTCTCGTCGCTCGTGGCCTCGCTGGCGGCCAACTCCACTCCGGGCAGCTCGGGCGCCGCGAGCGCCTCGGCCAGGGGCTGGCCCGACGTGCCGCTGCATGGGCGAGGCTCGGAGGCGCGCCTCTGCAGCTCGGGGAGGTCGCGAGCCCACGGAGCCACAGACCCGGGAAGCCTCAGCCCATGGGGCCTGCGACACCTGCCGGGGCCGAGGGCGCCAAAGCCCGGCGCGGCGCCCCCACGGCCGCCGGACGGCTTGCCCAGCACGGAGCACTGGAGCCCCAAGCCCACGCAAGGGTTCCCGCGGGCCATCCTTGGGGGAACCAAGTGGTACCGATGCCGCTGCTCCCCAGACCTCTCCCAGGGCGCGTGCTGACCAGGATTTCGAAGCGAATCCAGTCGGTGGCGGCGAGGGAGGTCCAGGAGGCCCGAAAAGGGGAGAACGAGGGGAGGGTAGAGGTATGGGTAGCTTTTCCTCCGCTGAATCCTGGGAATCGAAGGCTGCCTCGACCTCAGAGCGGCCGCCGGGCTGGCTGCCTCCGTCCACGCCAGCACCGGCCTCGGCCTCTCGAGCTGCTCGCCGAGGGCAGGGAGCCGGACGCCCGCGGGGCGCGCCATATCCTTGGCAAGGCCGACGCCAACGAGCAAGGCCGCGCGGACCCCAAATAAACACGACACCAAAACTTGAGCCAAAAATGGCTACGGACCGTTTGAGGCGCATCTTGGGCCGTCCAAATTCCCTTTCAGGGCGTCGTGGGGGTGGCCAAGGGCTCAGCCGCGACGGATGTCCGGTGGCTCTTAGGAACGGTCTTGGGCCCCCAAAAAGCAGGCCCCAGCACAAACGTTTGGTGTCGGGATCGCGGCCCCGGGCCCCCTGGGCCCTGTCCCACGTTGTGTGTATGCACATGTATGTGTATATATATATATAGATATATATATATATATATATATATATATATATATATATATATATATATAGATATATACACACACATACATACCGATACGACCACCCTTCTGGTGATAAGGAGGTTCGGGGGGGAGGAGGAACCAACGTCTCACTCGATCGGTCACACTATCGCTCTCACTATCGATCTCACTATCGGTCTCTCTTGATCGATCTCGCTCGATCAATCTCACAATCGATCTCACTCGATCTGATTCATTCGATCGATCTCACAATCAATCTGACTGTCGATCTCACAATCGATTTCCCTATCCATATCACTAACGCTCTCACTATCGATCTCACAATCGGTCTCACGATCGATCTCACTATCGATATCACAATCGATCTCACAATCAACGTTATCATCATCATCATCATCATCATCATCATCATCATCATCATCATCATCATCATCATCATCAACACCATCATTATCATCGTATCAACGTCATCAACATCACCACCATCATCATCATCATCATCATCATCATCATCATC